TTTTTTTTTTTTTTTTTTTTTTGACACAATTGCCTTTTGAATTTATTTTAACAAATTATCCTTTAAATTTTTAATTTTGATAGATTACTTCTTAAATTTATAAATTTGTTACAATGTGTCCCATTTAATTAAATTTGTTCAAATTTTTTTTATTAAATTTAAGGGATTAAAAATTGAGATATTAAAAGATTTGTATTATATTTAAATTAAAATGTTGAAATTTTTGACTGAATGTGTTTTTTTATACTAATTTAATACAATTATCATTAAAATGAGACATATTACAACAACTTTATAAGACGAAGGGATAATTTATTAAAATTAAAAATTTATAGTAATTTGCATTTTGAAAATTTATAAAGTAATTTGCTAAACCACCACAAGTGTGCATAGCAAATGTGTTAAAAACCCATTTAAATATAAAAACGACATGTTTAAGTATCAAGAACGTTATATCGTTCTCGCTTTATAAGTTTATATTGTCGTTTATCCATAAAACCATATGTGAATATCTGAATTGTCTGCTCTCTTTTATCTGAAATTTGCCGCAAATTATATATATCGGCTGTCTTTTTCTTTACAAAACGCCTCTTAAATTATATGAAAGTTTGTTTTTCGTTTGTACAAAACGATACGTGGTTGTTTCTTCAAAAAAACAATATGTCGTTTTTTAACACCCCGCCATAACGGAAAACGGTACGTCGCTTGATCTCTGTATAAGTTGCTGTCATTCGAGTCCAAAAGTCTCATTCAAGAGTTTTCTGTGTTTGTCGTTTTTACTCTGGTCTCAGTAACAACATGTCCATACGCACTCACCATTAAGGGTAAAAAGAGAAACACGGACTAAAAAATTAACAAACATCTGTGTAGTGAAATTACCATTTGGAATTTCAACGTGTAATATACATTGTACAATATTATAACATAATATAGTTGGAACTTGGAAGGGGAAAAACTTTCCTCCAAACAATGACTTCATATCGGAGTAGGCTTTAAATAATTAACGACTCATTTTCTCATTTTGATCCAATGAGTCATAATGTTACCTTCCGATTTTATGAAATCACACACACACACACACACATATATATATATATATATATATATATATATTGCACAAATGAGCCGCAAAATAAACTTTGATAAACACAAGCGATCGATATCAACTTAATTAATTCCTATATTACATTTGCTGCCAGCAAAATAAATTAAATAAGTCAGACGTTGTTCCATGTTGACTCGACTGATTGATCATCTTTGGCATCGCTTGGTTTGCACGTGTGAAGCATAAAATTGCATGCTTCAACAGCCTCTCCAACCGTTAGATAAATCCATTCCTGGCCTATCTTGTCGATCAACTCTGACTTGTTCAGCTTCTTCATAACCTCACTTCCAGGGTTGGCCAACACAAGCTAAAACAATAATAAGAAGTGCGAAGAAATTAATTAGAAATTTATGTCTATATATATGCATACACACACACATATATTTTCTTAAACGACACATGAAATAATTTGATTTACCTTGAGACCCCTTCTTTCAATGGTCTTCTTGACCTCATCAACCATGCTTAACCCACTTGTGTCTATGTTACCAACAGCTGTAAAACAAAAAAAAAATAAAAAATAAAAAAAAAGGGTGTTACAAGTGAAATTAAATATTGATATACAAATGCATATGTTTTCATCTTCAAATTAAATGAGTATGCTACATATAATATATACCTGTCAAGTCCAATATGACATATTGTAAGCTGGTTTCTCCAGCTGATTTAATCCTATCTTCCTCGTCATCAATCCATCTTGAAATTCTGTACACAAGAAAAAATAATGTTGGTCAGTATAAGATTCTGTTAAATTCAACTTACACGTAGTTCATGATGATTGTAGTACTTTTTATCAAATATATACTATAGGTATACCTTTCTCTTAAGTAGTTGGAATTTGCAAAGTAAATTGGAGCATCAATCTCAAGAATGAGAATTCCAGGAACATTGCTTGCATTGGTGTATTGTTCGGCATTTCTATAGATCATGGAATCAGGAATGTTACCGAGAACAAATGTCCTAGGCCTCGCAACAAATAAAAGTACCCGCAGCAACGATATCGCGACCTGATCATTTTTGCACCAAAAAAAAAGAAGAAAGAAATTAGTACTTGGTAACCTAATTAGCCTCTTAATTAGCATTAGTATTTGTATTAGGCTCATACCGCTATGACTAATCCGACTTCCACACTGCCAAAGACCACGCCAACATATGCACTTATGCAAACGATTAAATCAAACTTGTCCACTTTCCAAAGATGGATGGCGGCCTCATAATCTATGAGACCGAGCATCGCGGCGATTATGATTGCTGAGAGCACCACCAGCGGAGTGTAATGGAATAAGGGTGTGAGGAACAACAACGTGAACATGACGGCAATTGCCATGACTATGTTTGACACTGCCGTCTTGCACCCTGCGTTGTAGTTCACCGCAGATCGCGAAAATGGACCTGAAATTTTGTTCACATGTCATGAGCAAGGTGAAGTTTAGGCAGCTGAACTGTAATTAGAAGTAGAGTTTTTATTATTATTTTGTTGCTTCTGTTTATATTTATAAGTGATAAAGTATACAAATACAATTAAAAGTACTTATAATGTTAAGTATAATCACCTGTTGTGAGATAGCAAGAAGTGCAAGAACCAACAACGTTCATCATTCCAATTGCAATCATCTCTTTGTTTCCATCAATATGGTAACTCTTGAACATGGAAAAGCTTCTCCCCACTGCTATCCCTTCCTGGATTAATTAACCGTTTCTAAATATTTTTAGTAAAAAATTTAAAAAGGAAAATAATGAAGAAATTAAGGATAGAATCTAAATTTGACATGAAAAAGCACGTTGATCTGTATTTTCATTAAGGATTGACTTTATGGATTTTACTAATAAAATAAACATTAACTTGACTTCACTGGCTTTTGTCAATAAACTATAACAAGGTTAACTTACGTAACAAATTAAGTCTTAAGTCAAAGTCAAAGAGTGTTACCTATTATTAATTATTGTTTTTAATTATTATTTTTATCTATAATACATGCTTGACAGTTTGTAATATTTTATATAATTAAGAATTGGAGAAAGATGCTTACAGCGAGGGCTATGATACCCGTGATTATGCCAGTTTTGATAGCTAGTGTCATGTGAGGAGGTGAAAATATAAGATCCGTGATTGATAATGGATTCAGCCCCTTCTTCAGCTTTCCTATCTGAGAAAAATACCATTCACAGAATTATATTCATAACTCTAACAGCAAATTTTAACCAAAAACCAAACAAAACAAGAAATGAAAATGACCCAATTAGAGGTGTTAAAATAAGGTTACGTTTAGTTCATGCATTAGAATAATGAGATTATAACTATTTTTAATTTACGTGTATTTTTTATAAAAAAAAAATATTATAAAAAATTATAAATCATAATTTAAATCATAATATGAATTCATTTACCAAATATATCGAAAGTAAGTTACTGACGTGACAACAGAATTTGGCAACATGGCAAAGATATGCTTGGGACCCACCATGGATCTTTAAACAGCAAGCATTATTGGTGGGCGCCCAACACTGTTTTCATGAGAAGAGGGGGAGAGTGGTAGAACAATAATTTTGGACTGGCCCATTAAGACAAATGACATCTACCAAGCGGGCCTAAAAGACATTTTACATGGACATGGTCTGAGTATCTTGTCGTCGTCAAGGTCAGATTTGGAGTTGTCTGTCCCTAGTGGGTTACATCTGCGCCCGTTTATTTCAATAATTTAAGCTTAAAATTTAAATTTTATTATAATAAAAAATTCTTAAAAATAGTTATATTTAATTTTTTTATATTATAATAAAAAAATTTTATATAAAATCATATTTTAACTTAAATCAGCGAATTAAAAGTATCCTTAATCTTTCATCTCATCTCTATTTATGTGTGGATGAAAGACAGAAAAAACAAAAGAAGACTAAGGGTTCGTTTAGTTCACTGATTTAAGTTTTTAATTCGACTTGATATGTGACTTTATGTAAAAACTTTTTACTGTAATAAAAAACTTAAATGTGACTATTTTTAAAAATTTTTTCTTATAGTAAAATTTAAATTTTAAATTTAAATCATGAAATAAATAAAATACGAGAAAAGAAAAATACTTTGGGGGATGGCGGTGCTATAAGTGGGTTTTTATTGTGGGACCCAATCCTTAATAGGTGATACTGAGCGTCATATAGCGTCGTTTAGTAGAAAAGGGTAATTAAGATATTTTCTTTTTTATTTTTTGAAGTGCTTACCACTTGAACACCATGTTTTTCAGCATGGGTGAGATAAACAAGAAGGCTTCCCAAGATAACTGAGGTCAACGGTGCCATGGCTGATATCCAAAAGAACTTCGGCTTTCTCTTACTCTGCATGAAAAATGGAAAAATAAATAAATATACAAAATAAGCAATTGAGAGTTACTTGATTTTTCTTTTTAGTTGTTTTTTATTTTATTTAAATGAGTATTATTTATTGGTGATGAGCAGCGTTGGAACAAGGTTCACGCAGCTTGGTAGGATGCAATCACCTTCAAAAGTTCTCTGATAAAAAAGAAGGCAGCTTTTGAGATAGAGTCTTTACAGCTTTTAGCGGCTAAGAAAAATAAATCTCTTATCATATGCTTTCTATTTATATTAATTATAGATGGAGCAGGTTAATTGCGGTTAAATGGAGACTTTTTGACATGTAAGAACAAGATTAGGGAAGACAAATATAAAAGAGACAGAAGCTGATTCCGTCTCTGGAAAAGAGGAAGATTTTTTTAACTAAAATAAAATTATAGAGGTTTAGATGCTAATGGAAATACTTAACTATAGATAATAGCACGTTGCAGAGATAATTTTATTCTTTAAGAATTTAATCTCTGACTCTTGATGTGATCGAATTATCAATTCTACTATTTTTGCCTAACCCATGTATTATTTTATTGAGTCGGCGTTAGAACGAACTAATACGCGCATGCCAACGACTATAGCAGCTAGATTATTATAACTAAAGAATTAATATAAGTATCTTAATAACTTAATTAAGTTGGGAATTCAAAAATATATATATGGACAATTCCATTCCCTCTATTTGTTTTTAAAAAAGAAAGAAAATAATTAATTATTCCTTGGAAAAGGGTTTGGTGCACTTACAAAATATCTGGTTATCAGGAGGAAGAAAAGGAAACAACATCCCAAGACTCCACTTTCCCATTTCCACTGCAACAACCATCAATAGATAATAATTTTTAGGCGTTAGCTAATCAGGACTTAACCAAAGTAATCAAACGTATTAGCAAGGAAACTACCAGTACTAATAAACAATAAAAATTAGAGCCATCCAATTAACTCCACCTTTCTTGCTTAACTTATTTCCTCCTTTTCTAGACTTTCTATATTTTATTTCATCTTCCTCAACACTTTTCAAAAGGTAATACTATCTAAATGTTACTTCTAAGACTTTAGAAAACGACCACCGCATCTTATTTAATGCTCAACAACTTCAAATTTTACAGCCCCCACATCTTATATATAATAATACCTCTATTTATTACAAGTTTGTAATGAACTCTTAAAAGAAAGGCCGTGATTGGAGATCCAATATTGAATGTCCATTTTGTAACCAAACCCTTATAAATTTTATGTTTATCAAACCAAATTCGTCTATATGAATTATTTTTTTCTCAGGTATATGTAAATATATATATACACACACATATAGTACTATGAGCTGCTATGTACTTATATATTGAACATGTATTGGTGGGTAATGTTATAGGGGAAGAGGACAACCTCATGTGTTTGGCTAAAGACAGAGCGCATGACTGACACGACATCTGTCCCATGGGTGAAATGTTCAAGTCCAAGAATCCCTTTCAGTTGTTGCAAGCACACCACAGTGGCTGCTCCTGCCATGAACCCTACTATCGTTGCATGTGATAGGAAATCCACGATAAACCCTAGCCTGCAGTGTACCAGAGATCAGTATTCACAACAACATGATTTTTTTTTCTTTTTATAAGTAGACACGTACAAAAATTTGCTTGTACAAACGAACGAACAAACACCAAAAATTGGGGTGCCCCAGAAGAATTATTAATCAAATAATTGAGATACCGACATGATAAAGGAAACAAAAAAAAAAAAAAAAAAAAATTTTTTTTAGGGTAAAAAAAAAAACTTTTTTTAGGCGGTTTTTTCCGAATTAAGCTAGAAAACATTTAGTTTTTTTTTTTCCAAAAAATTTACAATTGCAAAAGACAAAAATTCCATGGCCACACAGAGCTGAGATTAACAAATTATAAACTAAAGTTCTAGCTCCCCCAAGAGAAAAGAAAATGACGTAGACAAAAGTCTTGAAGTGCTCATAATATATGGACTTATTATAGAACGTTCACTAATTCATATATATGATCTGTAAATGTACTGACCTTAAAAATCCCAAGGAAGCTTGGAAAACACCAGCGAAGAATGTTGCTGTGAAAGCAAGATGAAGATAAAGAGAAGGGTTCTCAGAGGCGTTAACTTCTTGGCCCAACATAGAAGCCGTGAGAAGTGAAGCCACAGCCACAGTTCCCACGGCCAAATCCCTCGAACTTCCCATCATCGCATAAATCAAAGGTGGGACAAAGCTCGAATCTGCATTAATTAATCAAAATTAATATATATATCTATATTACATGTATATAGTACTGTATATAGCAACAGCAGAGTTGAGACTTTTTAAATTTCTATTCAAACTTTATGTTCAAATCTCATTAGATCTCATTGGTTTCGCTCGTTTAAACGTGAGAGAAAAATACTGTAGTAAACCGATAAATAGTGAATTCACTTACATAGGCCGAGAATGGGGGGCAAGTTGGCGAGCTTGGCGTAGCTGATTCCCTGAGGGATGGCGAGGCTGGCAATGGTGATTCCGGAGACGATATCGGCTTTGAAGAAGGAAAGAGGGTAGCGAGGAGCCCATTCCAGGATGGGAAAGAAGTACTGAAGTCCCAACACGAGCTTTCTCCATGCCGTTTGGTTCTTGAACTGACGGAATGGGTCGTCAGGAAAGAACGTTTCTTTCACAGTGTTCCGAAACGTCTTCACAAACGGCTGTGGCGGTGGAATCGCCACCCTGTGGGACCTCTCCACATTAGTACTCGCCGATGGGTACACGCAATCTGCGTTTCCCATGAATATATGCTAGTATCTATATATATATATATATATATTATACAAGTTTTTATGATAGTCTTGGGATATTCTAGGACTATAAATAGTACTGGAATGAGCTAGGAAGAGAGGCCAAAAAGGAGGAGATTATAAATTGGGAGGAGTGAAGTTTTTGGAGAAGGTGAGGAGAGAAGCTGAGGTTGTGAGGCTTTATATATGACAAATATTCATGCGTTGGAGAGATGGGATTCTTTTGTAATTATACATATTATGTTTTTAGTGCGTTGTGGGACCCACAAATGTGTGTGTGGAAATGGGAGTGAGAAAGAGAGGGGGGGACACGTTCGGTGGTGTTGGGATTTCAATTTTCTTAGCTGCTCACCTCGTGTTTTTTTTTTTTTTTGCTGCTGTTAATTTCAGTTCATTAGATAGTCTAGTTGACCAATTACATGTATGATATTAATATTATATCATACGATATTATACATATCCCTTTACAAATTAAGAGGAGGAAAAGTCCTTGAAGCTCACGTATCGTGAAAATTTATGATTTTTCTACAATGGCTGGTTTGTGACGGTTATGTAATTTTGGGTTCAATCATCAGAATAATGTCTCAAAAAATTGACACGACATGGTTTTTGAGCATATGGGAAAAAAAAACGATTATCGAATCCGTGTCCAAACATATCATTGCCTAACTTGATCGTTATTTACGGCCACGTATTTCAGTCAAAGGATTCAAGTTGGTCGTCATATGGATGATAAACGTAGTACTTGTAATTAAAATGGAACTCGAAGACCTCTATGTTTACATTATTGCATAGGTCATGAAACATGGGACCTGTTTGTTAGCATTTTTGTTTCCATTTCTCACATTTTTTGAAGCAAAAAACTGAAAACAGAAATGAAAAACGTGTTTGGTGGAATTTATGTTAGAAAATAAAAACAAAAACGTTTTTGTCTTTTTGTGAAAAACTGAAAACGGAAAAAATCCGTTTTCATTTTCACGTTTTCGTTTTCAGCTGAAAAAGCTAAAAACTGATTTCAATTGTTTTTTTTTTTCTTTTCTTCTCTGTCTTCTCCAGCCGAAGAAGGGGC